CAGCAGGTGTAGTGGGCTTCCCAACACCCCTAATTCTATAGGCCCCATCCCTGATCACTAGGTGGCCCAACGTAGCCACAGGAATATGGCACATCTGACCCCACATTGTGGACTAGCTCGGTGGTCATGAATGTCCCTCCACGCCAAAGTCGGAAGGTCTGAGTTCAGTCCTAGACACCTCCCTAAACACATGTGGCACACATGTGCTCATGATCTGAGCTAGCTGAGCTTGCGGTGGGTTACCCTGTGAAGACCCTCTTAAGGATGCCTGTCTCTCTGTCTCTCTGTCTTTTCCTCTTTCTCAAGGAATAAAAAAATTCACAAACTAAAAAATAAAAATATTATACATCTATGTCTCTGGTTAACATATACAAATATCTGAATGTTTGGATATATCTAAATATGAAGGAAACTAAAGGACTTTTTGGGCAAGAAGTAGACTGAGTAATGGTAGATACCAGAGATGGGAAAAGCAAGTAGGGGTGGAGGGTGATTGACACATGCAAGAACGCATGTATGCAAGGGGTATGAGTTATGGAATGGGTGCCCCACAGCAGAATGAAATGCGCCATCACTGACAATTCAGTATGCACTTCCAAAAATAAGAAAAGAAAGAGAAACTAATAGAATTATTATTGAATGTACACACTACAATGTAATGTTTAATGTTGAAGATAAATATGTATATATCCATGATTTGATAATTATACATTCTATGCATGCTATGGAAAGCTGTACCTCTACTCCACAAAATAAACTAATAAATACATATATTTCTTTTTACTTTTCAAAAAGCATCCTTATGTACTGAATAGGCCAAATCTGGTACTAAATCTAAAATTGCACTTAGGTAATAGAAATGAGTCTAGAGGACCATAGCACAGTAGAGTGACTAAAATTAACAAGTCAATATATACTTCACACTAGTGAGAAGAGAGGGCTTCGAATGCGTACAACACAGAGCAATGCCATGTTTGAGGCGGTGGGTGGTCAGTGCCCTGATCTAATCGTTGCATCTAGTACGCATGTACTAGAAAACCACACTATACTCCATAAATACATACAACTACTATATGTCAATTAAAAACTATAACTTTTTTTTTAAATGATCAACTCTGGGCCATCATGTGTCCCTGCTCTAGAATTAAATACAAGGCAATTACCCATAGCATGAAATGGTAAGAGTGAGCGAAGTGCTGCCATGGCTTGCTCTCCAACCTACCTCCTAAGGGGAGAGGAGCAATGAGCGAGGATAAAAAGAATTGACCTTGTGTTCACCTTTGCTGGTTATCACGGTGACTGTGTGTTGTCACATAATCTGACCCATCAAGGACCAAGGAAGACACACACACACACACACACACACACACACACACACACACACACAGAAAGAGAGAGGCTGAAGTGGCTAAGAGTGCATTAGGAAGACTGCTCTCCCACAGAGACCTTCAGATCCAGGGCTCCTTCTTCTGTTTCCTCCCATCTTCTTTTCCCACCATCATTTTCCTCTTTGCTCCAAACTTGATTCTTTCCTGAGAAAACCCCAGGTCACATGTAGGCTGGCATTCAGGGAAGAGCCACACCTGCCTGCCTTTCTTTAGTTCCACAGCTGCAGCCCTCCTGTGCCTCCACATCCCAGCTAAAGTGCCAAGAGGCAAGCCCCGGTTGGTCTCTGCCCCAGAGGCAGCCACATAGTTCATTAGGCCTTGGTAGGCCATTCCCTGCCTTCCTGACTCTGTGAGACACAGAACATCTGAAAACAATCCTCAGCAATCGGAAAGGTCCCAGGTCAAATTTTGAAAGGAAAGCAAGAGTTGGACATCATTCAGCTATTGACCATCAAGCCATACTTCCTTGAGAATGAACATCAGCCACAAAGAAATCTCTTGAAACCTTTAGATCAAAGGTTTGAAACAAAGTCATTAAGAGCGACGTGAGGAACAGAAATTAGAGACCCTAAAAAGAGGCAGGGCTGACTGCAGGCTCCAGTCAGGTGTAAGGGGAGGCATGAGCTCGATCAGTCCACTCTGTCCATAACTGGTCCCCGAGATTCCTTCTGAAGTACTGCGGAAAATTCAGTGCAAACTATTTTACAAGAAAATGGTCTTATATAAGAACAGATGTACAGAGCTGATTGTTCTGCTCACAAATACTGCATTGAAAAACACTTCATAAAAAAGCAGCAAACAAGTTCAAAGACCCAAAAGAAAACATTTTTAAGGAAACTACCATTTTGAAAGATAAATGACTTGTAATAACATTGAGAAAAGAGCTATCAAGGCGTAGTTGGGGACAAAAATGCATTTCTGAAATAACTCCTTCATTTGTCTAAGATGCTTACCAAAGGCTCATTGAGCGGCAGGCACTAAGCTGTTTGGTGTCTGTCCTCAAAAACTGCACATCATCGGGTTTGAGGTAAAAACAGAAAAGAAGGGACCCAGCACAATGTCACGACGTGCTGTGACAGAGGTGGGCAAAGCTGAGTCAGGACGGAGGGGTGAGTTTTGGGGATGCTGAGAAAGAGAAAACAGGCAGAACACTGGGGCATTTGGAGGAAACTGTTGGACCTGCAGGCGTTTTCAGGCAGAGGACAAAACCCAGATGTTTAAAGATCAGGGCAAGAGATGTACCCAGTGAAGAACTCCTTCTACAAGGAGGCAGAGTGTGCAACCAATGGCAGAGAGAGTTAAAGAGGGTCTGAACATGAGTCATGAAGGGTTGACAGGGTTTGTACTGGATGGAGGTTGGCTGATCCCAGAGGTCACATGATTAGACTTATGTATTACATTGCAGAGTAAGTTGAGTATCCCTAACCCAAAAATCCAAAATTCAAAATACTCTGAAATCTAGGTCCAGCAGTTGGCATAATGGTTTTGTTGCTGGATTCCCATGTAGTTGTCTGTGGTTCGAGTCCTGGACCTGGTGACTTAAACTCATGCCAGGCACATGTGCGTGTGGGCAAATCCTGAGAGGAGAATGGAAGAATGGAAGAGAAGGGATTGTGGTGTGGCCATTCCCCTGGGTGATGATTTCTCACTTTCTGTCTCTCTGTCCCTCTCTGTCTTTCTGGCAAGCACACATGCTCTATAGCAAAAACCAAAAACCTCTACTAAATAAATAAATAAATACTCTGAAATCTGAAACCTTTGATCACCATGACAGCAAAATGGAAAATTACATGCCTGACCTGTGACCCATCAAGGACCAAGGAAGGTCAATGTCTGCTTCCCCCCACCACACACACACACACACACACACACACACACACACACATACACATACACACACAGGCTGAAATGGCTAACAGGGTGATAGAAAGACTGAATCAAAACACCATAATATAAACATATTGCATAAAATTACTTTCAGGCTTGGGCACACTTATAATGCAGGGGTGAGGCACTGCACTGAAAACCAGATCCCCCATGGTGGATAGCAGTTTGAGGCTTGGCCTTGTTAATTTGAAAAACATCCCCAAAATCCTAACTGAATGGAGAAATGGAGGAAAAAGATTGTGTTGTGACCATGTCCCATTTGGGTGTACTTTGTCTCTGTCTCTCTCTCTCTCTGGTGAGTGCATGCAGCCTCTGGCAATAATTTAAAAACATTACCTCCAGGCTATGTATATAATGTATATATAAAATATAAATGAATTTCATGTTTAGAGGGGGTTCCCATCACCCAAATAGCTCATTATGTATATGTGAATTAGAAAAAAAGCCAAAATGTGAGCCACTCTTTGTTCCAAGCATCTTGAATACAACTGTATGTCATTGTACACTGCAGGCTATAGGGCTCTGAGGAGGGCGAGGTACTATGTGCTTAAAGCAGCAGTTTCTAAATCAGCCTTCATGTCACATTTATCTGGGAACCTTTAAAATGCTGATTCCCAAAATTCACCTTCAAAATATTTAAATCTCCAAGGGTTCCATTCAGAGATAAAAATGTGTTTTTATAACTTCCCAGGAGATTCCGAGGCCAGCTGGGCTATGGAATCAGTGACTTCATGCATTATCAATGGTGATTCACACAGAGCCCTCATAAAGCGTTATTAAGTCAGCATATAAGAGAGATTTTAGTGGTAGAAAAGGAACATTACTAAACTAATTTGACTCTTTCACTTGTAGA